ATTTGTTGTAGAGGCAGCCAGTCTAATAAGTTAGTAGAGAAAGTTGATATGTTTTGAACTTTTGTGTGAAACAATGCATATATCTTTTTTTTTACAGCTATTGCAGTCAAATACATCACAAAACGCTTCATCGGAGAGTACGATTCCACGTTGGGTTCGTTTTTAATTTTTGTTTTTTTATCGTCTTTTAGGCATTTAGTTTTTCAGAGGACACTTACTGTCGTCAGGATACAGTAGCTGGACAGCCCCTCATGGTCTGGATCATGGACACGGTAGACGATGCGTCGCGTGATGAAATGCGGTGGTTAGCATGGGCTGATGTATATCTGGTGGTCTACGATGTCACTAGCCAATTAAGCTTACAGTCAGTTTTGAGTGGAGGATTTTAGTATTGTTCACTTTTTAATTTCCTGCTGTAGATATGCTGAAAGCATCTTGGAACGTATAGCGACGCACGAGCATCTACTGTGCGCTAGAGAGCATAAGACAATTTTGCTTGGCAATAAAAATGATTTAGAGAGGTATAGGTAGGTTTTATGCAAATATCGATATTTTCGCAGAAAGAATATCTAGAGTTGGATCTTGGTGGTTTAGACAAGTTTCTGAAGCTGAAGGTGAAGCTATGGCCGCCAAGTACAAAACCCAGTTTGCCGAATCAACCGCAGCTGGTGATCCTCGTCCTCTGTCCCAGCTACTGCACACCACTTTTCAGGTGGACTAGATCTCTGAAGCGTTTAATAATTTGAAACCACCATGTTTAGAATATTCTGACGGGTACAAGAAGTCCTTCACCACGATTGTGCTCGTCGGATTCGGAAATTGTAACACCTAGTAAGTTTGCTTTTCGTAGTTATCTCTTGTAATTTTTCCTTTATACCCTCGTTGTAGAGACCAATCATACTGCACAAATGCACGAGTAGTCTTTAAACTTAATTGTAATTCGCGTAAATGTCGATTTAGGATCAGTATCTTTGTAGCGATGACATTATTTTAGTGAGTTTCGTAACTTTGCATTTTTTGCGAATTTGCATAATTCGTTCCAAATTTTTTGGTTTTTAAAACGTTCATGTATTATAGTATCAAACTCCACTGAGAGATAGTTTGCGCGCATTTTTCTTTTTTTTGCAGTGTTTCAACTTTAGCCATTCTTTCTCTTTACAGGAAAATCTGCATTCTCCGCCTTACGTTCGGCAAGTAGATCCAGCCAAGTTCGTACTAAAGCATCAAAACCGGTACAACTACACAAAACACCAAGTTTGAGCAAAATCAAGACGGGCAGCAAATTGTTGAAGCTATTCCACAACTAGATCTCTTCAGTCTCACCAAAGATACTTTAGCTTTCGTTTTGCTCTACGCGTTTTCCTATCAATCTGGTCGTCTATCATTAAAACTCTTTCTTTTTCAATCGTTATACAAATTAGGATAGTCACTATTTCTAGAATAATTGATCATTTGCTCCTATTCCCATTTTTTTTTATTTTGGAATTTTACTTGTTGTGTCATTGTTAATTATATCATTCTCATGTATATATGATTGTTTTCCATGTTCCTTG